AGGGATGCTGCGCTGGTCAATAAATTTGAACCCGATCCTCCTAAGCAAATAATAGGAGTCGACAAGGTTCAATAAATAATTATAAAATGCCCTCAAACACCCGCATGGGCCCCGACAAGCGCGATATAAATATACAAGTGATGTCTAGGGATGCTGCGCGGGTCAATAAGTGAATTCAAGTTCGAATATGATCCTCCTATGCGGATCAATAGGAGTTGATAGGGTTCAAGCCTTCAAACAAATACACGATTGTGGCGACCAGTGCATTTAGTTTAATGCATTCGTATTAGGCCTTCAAGGCCTACGATCACAAGAATTCATTAATAAAGGCATGAAATCCACGAAAACTTGATCACCTATCGGCAAGGTAATAGGGTCGAAAAAGTTTGATCAATGAATAACCCCTTACATCCCGATGATGGCCATGCTGAATGTTTATCTCAACCGGAGGGATGCTGCGCGGGTCAATTAAAAAAAAACGGAGTGATTCACAAATATTTTCAAACGTCACTCCAAATACCCGGGAATCCAAAAATTATCAAAATCCAAAAATATTTAAAATTGAAATCAATCATCCAACCATTTGAAGCAAAAACCATCCACCCTCCGCAACAGTTTGTCGGAGTGGACAAATTAAAATTTACTTCAGCTCACGTAGAGCTAAATGCCTAATCGAAAATATCACTAGGATCCATTCTCAAACAATCTCCTGTTATTAAGGATGTGGTATGTGTCCTCTGATCGGCGGTTTTGCCGCCAAATGGCACCGCAGGATAAACGGCTATGACCCGTTGCCCTCTGAACCGAGTGGTTTTACCACCAAATGACACCACGAAATACCGGTTATGGCCAGAGCCAATATGTTCCTTAATGACATCAAATTTTTGAGATATGAATCAATAGGATATGATCGATAGGGCACAAAGCCCTCTGTTAGCTAAGGTTGATTCAAATGTGTCCCCTTAGACAAACATCCCCCTAGGTCTACAAGGTACCCTTGGATGAAGCAACCCATGGTTGCCGACAAGGATCATTCTGCCAGGTTGGGTCGAGTACCTCCTCTGACCAAGTAGACCAGGGACCATGATGGCCCGGGAAGACGGAACTATGGAATCTTGATCGGGTCTATCATCCATTCCCCCACCATTCGTTTTAAGTGCAAGATGGTGAAATTTTTACTTTTAAATATCAAATCTACAAATTCTCAAATTCTAAGTTCATTGCTGCTACAATACGCCTGATACTACGTATCTATGGATACAACGTATCTGATTGACGACTAGCCTTAATTGAAAGTTCTCTCTCGTATTGAGATGGGTAATTAACTATAGGGGCTTGCGCCTATAGGAAACCAGAACTCAGATCATAAATTCCTCACAAAATGAGGGCGTGGGTAGTGTCTTATCTACAAACTCATCTGCCTTCCAAAATTTACCTCGAAACCTAACTCCGTTAAAACTCCCTCGCCAAAGAAAAAGCAAAACAAGTAACGAGCGGGCGGAGGCTGTGGCCGAATTTTCGGAGCCCACGTTAACATCGTTGTTTAACAAATCTATTTCTCATGGCAGATTTAACATCCATGTTTAACAAGTTTAAACATAGTTAAACTTTAACTTCGCTATTTCACAATTTTTTATATCGTAAAACATCGTTGTTTAACAAATCATACATAGTTCACCACTGTTTAACAAATCATGAGATTTAATTGTCTAGATTAGTTTCTAAAGTGTAAATTAAATTGTATTATACAAACCACATACCAAAGAGTATTCATATATATTAGACTTCTTTTATTGTTGAGAATAAAGTTTATGAAGCATGATTATAAGCCAAGTTTGTTTCCTAATCATGTATTATAATTTATTAAATGATAAAACAGAGTAAAATAAATAATGCAAACTCATATCCACTTGTAATACCTAAAATATAATTCATATTTAACTTTAGAATTAACTTTAACTCTTATTTTAGGCTCTGAAACTAAATTAACAAAAAATTTAGTAGAGTGATGAAATTGGGACAATGCAAGACTCTGAGATTAAATTAGAAATTTATCAATAGTTGTGGGACTATTTTGAGCTTTTATTCTATCTTCTAGTAATAATTTAGGGGATTTACTTCGCACTAAAAATTTGCCTCTTTACACTTAATTCCTTCTATGTACTTGCATACCATCCTAAGCTTTATATAACAATAAAGTACTACCTACAACCTTTGGCATGGTTCCCCTTCTCCACCTCCACCTCCACCTCCACTGCACTTCACCCATTATCTTCCTCTCTCATCACCCTCCTCGATTACCTAAACAGTTTTGGCAAAATCAACATCACCTTCCCCTTTGACACCAAACCTGATTACCACCTCTTTAGCTTCCTCATCACCTAAAGCAACTACTCACCCAAGCTCATCATTTTCATCGACTTTTGCAACATAGAACTCTCATTCATCTTCTCCGTATTCCCAGACATCATATTCCTTGCCCCATCACCCACACTTGCATACTCTCTAACGGTATATGAGCTTAGGTGTTATTTAAAAATTAAAATGGTATATAGATAAATAGAATGAATTGAATGTTAGGCATGTAAATAGCTAAATTTTAATGCTATGTAAATCCCTTTAATATTCTCTATAATTTTTAATATCACAACTAAAATTATATATCATATACTCGTATTTATTCTACTAATTGCAAATTATTTATCTTCTAAATATTCCTTATTATTTTAACTTCTCACTTTTCAATAGATATCCACTAGTTAGAAACTATGTCAAATATAAAAAACATACACCAAGATACCTTAGAATATCTAATGTAAGCATCTTCATAACTAAAATAAAAAATAATGTACTCAATGTTAGTCTATGATCTAATCTCACTGTAATTGAAACTCTTCAATCGATATAATTATTTTAGATGTTTGTGAATACTCCATTATGTGTATCTTTAAAAAAATCACTATATCTATTATATCATTTTCTTTTAATTCATGCCAAACAAATTCTCATGGGATTCAATCATATATCTTTTCAAAATAAGCAAAACTCATTTGAACATAAGCTTTCCATTAATTGCTTCAACACAAAAATCACTTTTATAGTGAAACTTCCTAGCATAAAACCAAATTGATTATCCAAAACCTATATATGTAATTTTTCTAAGCATGTGTTTCATTCATGGGCGGATCCACCTTAAGGCCAGGGGGGAGGGGGGGTTGCCACCCCTGAAAAAATAAAAAAAATTCTTTATTATATGATTCTTTAGGTAATTTATCCCCCTCCATGTATTTTTTAGTTTTTATTACAAAGGTTTTTAGGCAATTGCCCCCCCTCCCCCCTAAAAGTTTTAAAATACTATGGTCTTTAGGCAATTTTCCCAACATAATTAAATATATTGTGTATAGATGTTATTGTTAGGAAACCCCTGCAGGGGCGCTGCCCCTTGATCCCGCAACCTGATCGAGCAAGTCAAACAGCGCCAAGGGGCACTGTTGAATGGCAGCGCTCTCAAAACAAATTTTAATTGTAAGGATATTTATGGAAAAAAAAACTCTACACTTTTACTTATAATTTTGTCTCTCTGAAAATTAAGACTAGATTCTCCCCTGGTTTCATTGCTCTCCAAAATTAAGGTAGTTTTTCAGTCTATGTTATATTACTCTATCACATAGCTTCATTGTATGACTTAAGTTTGATTCATTTATTCTTGACATAATAATGGACATCTTTATTTCTAAATATCTATAATAAAATACTACTCTACTTATTTAGTAACTTGTTTTCAAAATACCAAAAATTAATCAAACATAATAATATCACCCATAAATCTCCAAATCTTAATGGTTATCTTATTTGAACCTAAGATTTACCATTATGCATCTTCTTCGGACCAAGATTTAGTTTGATTTTTATAACCAATTAATAGCACACCTCATTATTTTGTCTTTTATGCTCTTCTCTTGCCTAAAAAACTTCTAATTACTAATTTTTCAAAGTAGCATATGCATTTGTCCCTGATGACTTCATCTTCAATTAAGATAATATTATATTTGCATCCAATGCATATCTAATTTTGATCAAAATCTCTAGATTTCATATCTATCATCATAAATATTTTATATTTCACATTTTCTCCTTTATAAGAACCAAGTTTACCATATAAATCATCAGAGAGCTTTATCTTTGTTAATTGTCCTCTTTGCCCAGCTTTTAATTTTCTAATCATTGCAAGTCTTAGTAGTATGATCCTTTGCTAACCTTCAAAAGCATATCTTTTACTTGTAACTATTGTATCTCCTCACTCTATGATTAATCTCTTAATTGATATAAAACTAGTATTTAAGAGTCTCTTAATACTTTTGAAGTAACTTTTTAATGGCATCAACCATTTCATCCCATACAAGATTTTGGCTTAACTAAAAAATTTACAGCAGTACCTTATCCAGTTCATAGATGAATACAGCTTTCGGATAAAAAGTGATAGTGTGAAGTGAAATCTTCCCCTTACAAGCTATTTACTATCAAATTTCATAAGAATATGTAATAAACTACATCAAAAAGAGTTTATAATGAAATATCAACCAGAGAAATGTACAATAAGAAAACAACTCACCTCCTAGGCTCTTTGTAGTATGATCCTTTGCTAACCTTCAAAAGCATATATTTTTCTTGTAACTATTGTATATCCTCAATCTATGATTAACCTCTTAATTGATATAAAACTAGTATTTAAGAGTCTCTTAATAATTTTGAAGTAACTTTTTAATGGCATCAACCATTTCATCCCATACAAGATTTTGGCTTAACTAAAAAATTTACAGCAGTACCTTATCCAGTTCATAGATGAATACAGCTTTCGGATAAAAAGTGAGTGTGAAGTGAAATCTTCCCCTTACAAGCTATTTACTCTCAAATTTCATAAGAATATGTAATAAACTACATCAAAAACAGTTTATAATGAAATATCAACCAGAGCAATGCACAATAAGAAAAGAACTCACCTCCTAGGCTCTTTGCAGCATCCTTGAGGCTTCCTGCAAAATATTTTTGCAGAACATTCAGGCTTATATGTTTCTCTGATGTACTTCGTTTTGTATCTATTTGTTTTTTAGATCCATACTTTACCTGCATATGCCACAAAAAAGATTTTAGCAGAACACAAAACCTTTCAAGTTTCTAATTAATCTCACATAATCAAATCCATAAACGGTTAAATCTCTCCAATAAGCTTAAAGTATATTACAACATACACATTCAGTGCCCAAATAAAGAGTGATGCAAGGCGAGTAAGGGTTTAGAAATCATCAATAGAATCTAGGATGAGATGTATAAAAAAAATACACAAAGTCAAAAAGTCACAAGCCCAACGTTAACAACTTTGAACTTCAACAACAACCAAGATTCAAATCACCAAAAAAAAAAGAATCTATAATGTATGATGTTGACGAATATTTTCGCATCGACTCGACCCCAATCGAGCCCGACTAGGCTCGATTGCGCTCGATCAATTCAATCGATCATCGTCGAGGCGAAATTGACTCAAATTAAGCCTCGTTTTAATTAAATTAAACCCAATTTAATTTAATTAAAATTAAATCAAATCAAATCAAACCCAATTGTGGGCTCCAAAAATTCGACCCTGGCCTCCACTCGCTTTTCTTTTATCCGGCGAGGGAGTTTTAAAAAAATAAGTTCCGAGGTAAATTTTGGAAGGCAGATGGGGGGGACCGATAGGTACAAATTACCACCTAACAAAGTCAATAATGACAAATAGGGTACATCTCCATCATATCCGCCAGCCACAAAGGCACAGAGCCCAAAAGAAATCAGTATCTCAACCATTGTATCGACACATCCAAGAGATCTATGAATGAAAGAAAAGTTTTAGTGTGACATCCAAGCAAAATTTTGGAGATCCACTATAATGAAATCCTTGTGTGACATCTAGATGTAAATATTCTAGAGATCCACAGGGTCAATCAACATACAACAAACGGTGATTCGCTCTTAGACGGCGTATCACATTTGTTTGGGGGCATTGTTGACCTGTATCATATACTCCAAAAGAACATAAGAAAGAAGGAAGCCAAAATTCAACGGTACATGCCTGTAAAACCATCGGATCCACGAACTCAGATGCATGATGCTAACACGCGAATCCCGCCAGAAATCCGAAAACCTCGTTATTTGTTCGAGGCATCCCCGAAATCCCGCTGAATCACGGTGTTGCAGTCGGCGCCGTTCAGAAATCCTGGCGCCAAAAATCTGCGACTCGCCTCGATCGAGAGCCCAGATGCAATCGTAAATATCACAAACTCCTCCTCCCATACGCTGCCTCTCTCCCACAACTCTCTTTCCAACCCGACGCTTCTCCGAACTCCAAGCTCTGCTCGATCCCCATACCAGTCGCAGGTCCCGACTCCCTCCTTCCATCTCCGACCTCTCGGCCAACCGGCAAACAAGCAGAGAGAGAGAGAGAGAGAGAGAGAGAGAGAGAGAGAGAGAGAGAGAGAAAGATCAAATCCTTACCTCACTCACGGGTGCCCGCCGAACTCCTCCTCGTATCCTCCGATCCAGCCCTCGATCTCCCATCCGAACTTCAAGCCCCGAGTCGCAGCCCAAGCAACGAAACTGCTCTTACCCGACCTCCTCCTCTTGCCGAGGACCAACCGACTCCTCTCGTCGGATCGAAGCTAATGTACGGGAGCTACCACTGTGTAGGTAACTTTCTCCCACGCCACACTTCCTCGGTTATTTCTCGTGAAAACAGAGAAGAGCGGGGGGTGGAAAAATTTTATTTTATTTATTATTATAATTATTTAATTATAATTAATTCTAAGTTAATTAAAAATAATATTAAGTATAATTAATTTAATTTAATTATAATTAACATCCTAATGTTTAATAATTATTATTTATTATATTTTAAATATAATCTAATTTATCTTATATTTAATTATTAATATTATAATAAATTAATAATAAAATATATAATCATTTATATTAATTTAATTTAATTGATATGATTATTTTAATTTTATTAATAAAGAGCACCTATGCATGCTTTTTTTTAGCGTGTGGGAGGAGTGCGTCCCGCGCTTGCCGACGAAGCGTGGGTAATCACTTTAAAATTCCTTATTCGAATTCGTATCGCCTTGGAAAACCCCTGTCCTATGCACTGGTGCTTTTCTTAGCGTGGTGGGAAGGGATCTCTCGTGTGCGTATGGCGCACGTCGAAGCGCGGGATACCCATTAAATACCCGTTTGCGGGGTAAATAACTGCCTTGCTTACAATAATTTTCAAAAAAATATAAAATACTTTTTTTACAAAATACCATGCACGCTTTCTTAGCGTGGTTTGGTGATCAAAAAATTATATCGGCCGCGGTGTGCCTTCGAAAGAGGGCATCTACCCATGCACGCTTTTTTTAGCGTGGTGGAAAGGACCCAGTGTTCTTCTAAACGCGGGAGTACGCCGGGAGGTTGCCGAAATTTGGAATTGGAAAATCCGAAGGGACTTTGAACTAATATTGATTCTTATTTGGACACTCAAGTTTGGGAACTAAAATTTAGATTCAATTGAACTCAAAATTTGAAATCAAATGAACAAATTGGACAAATTTGAATTAACATTGAACTCTCATTGGAACTCAACTGCAGCGGTAATCGAACAATGTGGAACTTTCGAACAAATGAGAAGGCTCATTCTCAGCTTGAACTTATTTCTTAACTCAAAACTGTTGCTAGACCTGGAATTCAGATTGAATTTATTTTGGGAACTTTGAATCTGAATTGAAGCTATCAATAAAGGCTTAATCAAATTGAACCTAAATTTGAATCAAATGAGGAAGACTTGTATGTTTGGACATACATTGGAATCAAGCATAGGGATAAGAATAGAACTTGGATTAAACTTGCAGCACTTGGGACTTTGGACTTGCAAGTGGCCACATTTAACTACAAAGACTTGAACTCAAGAGCTTGGTGCATATGAGTTTTGACTTGAACTTGGAAACATGCAAAGTTGACTGACAAAAAAAGATATACATGAACGTCAAACTTGGACTTTACAAAGATCACAGCGAGATTTTGATTTGACGACTTGAGATTTGAACAATTATGAGCAAGGATTTAAACTGCCTAGTTAAACATTTGCGCTTGAACTTGGTATTGAATAATACCTCAAATTTGGTCAAATCAAAAGATCTTAAAGGCCAAGGGCATGAGAATTGAATCTTAACTTGAAAATGTATTGTATCATTAATAAGGTATTTCTATGAGATGATAATCTATCATCCAAATGAGCATCACTGAGCAAAATTAAAGGGGACTCAGATATTATTTGAGCATGGAATGAACATGTGACTTGTGAATTTTCAAACATTAACTTTTATCAATCATATTTTCAAACAAGGGTCAAATAGGAGAAATGCAGGAGTATTTTTGCTTTAACAACACAAAGTCTTCAATGAAGTCATTAAAGAATCATTTCAATTGAGAAGTAACTTCATCATTGCATTGGCTCGAGCCATTTTCATACGGATCCAAGGGATTTGTCACATCCAAATTGGACAATCTACGAGTAAATAATATCATTATGGAAATCATGAATTACTTTGACTAGTGCCAAGTAACAATGTGCTTATAAGTGACTACAAGGAGATGTGAACTATAATAAGTTCTGCTGGCAAACATGTATGAAGTGCTTAGTGATATATGTAGCAGTGCTTTTGCAATCGACGATAAGATACTACAAAAATGGCCCGTACTCATAAATATAGAATGCACAATATATTATGTATTTGCAAGATTTTCAAGAATATGTCCATCCTCTACCAAAGGCCAAATAGGGGTGCAATAGATGTCAAAGAATAACATGAGAATACAATCAACTACTTATCAATCAAAGACATGAAGAGTTGCGAAGTCAGGAGTATCTTTCATCTTGATAATCGCTATTTAACTACTAGGGATCAATCATATAGGATTCATGATTCGTTGAAATCTTCTACTCCCCACTCATAAGTCAAACAATCAACACAAATAAATATTTCGATGATGTTCGCCAAATCATTCAGTCTACATATGAATGGATATGAATTCCATAGTTCTACACTAATAAGTTCATACAGGATAGAACCCACAGTGAATGCAAACTCCTACGAACTATTGTGGAGATCTGTTCTACCACCCAACATTACTGTTTGCAAACAAAAAATACAAAAATGATTGTATCAAATGCAAGATCTTACGAGTCATTTATGCGTGAGATCTGTCGTATACCCCATTATTGTCCATAAGCAAATACTAAATAACTAACACTGCAAATGCAAGCAGGAGATTAGTTAGTGCACTATGACCCGCCTACGAAAAATCAACAATAGCTGCACACAGTCTACCTGTACGAAGTGCAGCGAACAATTCTTATCCGGAAGCTGCTACGCCACCGGCAATCTGCAATATGTCGTACAAGCCTAAACAGATGACGTCTTTTCCCAAGAGTACCCCTGCATGGGCATATAAATTGTATACACATAGGTACACTAAATAGGTAAAAATTAATTATAAAACCCGTCTCATGGGGCCCCGGCAAGCGGTTATTGGTACACATGTGACGTCTAGGGAGGCTGTGCGGGTTGATAATGTTGAATCAGGTTCGAAACGATCCTTCTTATACGGGTCAATTAGAAGTCGACAGGGTTCGAACCAACAAACAAATATACGGTTGTGGCGACCGTTATATTTTGTTCTTCAAAACATCCATATTAGGCCCTTCAGGCCTTCATAACCAATGATGAATTCACATCAAAGTCGGCATAAAGCCTATGAAACCCGATCCTCTGTCGAAGCCCGATAGAGTTGACAATGGTTCATCCATAAAGAGAAATGACCCCCAAACACCCCGATGATGGCCGTGTTGAATGTTATCTCAACCGGAGGGTGTTCACAAAACATTTTTCAAAGTCTCCCAAATATCCAAAATTCATTCCAAATACTCAAATCTACCCAAAACTCCACAAAAATCCCAAAATTTCCAAAAATATTTAAAATGCAAATTAAATACATTAAAGCACTTAAAGAAATCACAATCCACCCTCCGCAATAGTTCTTGCCCGGGGTGGGACAAATTCTAATAAACTCTGCTTCA